TAGTTGAAAAGTCCATTCATAAAACTTTTATTCCACTTGCATGAACTAAATACATATGTTTGTAACAACTATGCTTAGATTATTCATGAAAATTTCTTAAGACATTAAACAAAGCTAGCCATCATCTCAAGTTATTTCCCTATGAACTATTTTTATAGCACATGCATGTTAAGCAAGTATCAAAAACAGAAATCATGAAATAAAAAAAAACCCTAACAAAGTTAGATACATGGGTTTTTGTTTGTTTACTGCTATGCTTCATATACATGAATAATGAATACCAAGCAAGTCATTTTTACTGCATCTTTACTTTTACATTTGTTCTTAGGTTGCCTAAAACATTAAAATACAAATAAAATATGCAGCAAAAATAATTTTCAAACAGCAGGTAACTTTACAAATAATGGAATGTGAATTGTTTCTGCCCTTATCCAGAGTAATTGGGTGACAACTTCGTCTGAAGGACATCCCTGCAGCTGCAGGCACAGATGTGCATGCTGAGACTGCTCACTCCCTGCACATGGGCTCCACACCTGGAGGACCCGTGGGGTGTCTGTCTTTACCTCAGCCTCAGAGATGCTTCAATCCTTAAAGTACCCACAGTAAGTACACCTGTGTCTGGAACCGCTGATCCCTTTTATTCCCCTGCCAGGACAAACCAATACATAGGCATACATAGGCAGTTGTCTTTGTTTAGACATGGATGCAGTTTTTGTTGTTGTTGTTGTTGTTTTTTTTTTTTTTTTTTTTTTTTCAGAACTGGGGATTGAACTCAGGCCCTTGCGCTTGCCAGGGAAGCACTTATTCCACTGAGCCATCTCCCCGGCCCATGGATGCAGTTTTAACACTGGCCCTTATGAAGCCACAATGTACCAGAAGTACTATGCAGAAAAATGGTAACTTGTATAAAAATTCCACTTCCCCATATTGGCCATCTCAAGATGAAAACAGGTAACTCCCTAAATATTAACTGGCTCTACTCCCCTAATATTAAACATAAAACCACATGGGAAATATAGAAGTTCAAATAGAACTAACATAAACCTGTCATAAACCATAAACAAAAAACTGTTTGTGGGACAGCATGAATGACAAATGGTCTACTGTGTAGATTTTAGAATGAAGCAGACAAAAGTTGGAAGCCCAGTTAATATTCTCCTCCTTCTGCTCCAGCTTCATCTCCTTGGGCTTTCAATGTCCACCATGTCAAGTTGTCTCTCAGTAATTGCATCATCAGCGTGCTGTCCATGTATGACTCTTCACTTAGTGTATCAAGTTCAGCAATGGCTTCATCAAGAGTTGTCTTTGCCATAGAACAGGCTTTCACTGGAGAGTTCAGGATCTCATAATAGAACACAGAGAAGTTAAGGGCCAGACCCAATCTGATAGGGTGCGTTGGTTGCATTTCCTTTTTGCTGACTGCAAAAGCTTCTTGGTACACTTGTTGTGACTGATCCACAATCCCTTTCTTATCATCACCAGCAGCAACCTCGGCCAAGTAACAGTAGTAGTCTCCCTTCATTTTCCAATAAAAGACTTAGCTCTCTGCTTGTGCAGTGCTGGGGATCAAGAACTTTTCCAGAAGAGACAGAACATTGTTGCAGATATCCCTGAGCTCAGTCTCAATTTTCTCCCTGTATTCTGGAGCAGTCTGCTGCTCTTACTCAGCACCTTCCGTCTTTTTCTTGATTCTTAAGACAACCCTCCAAGACAACCTATGGGCTCCTACAACATTTTTATAAGCAACAAAGAGAAGGTTCCTCTCCTCATTAGACAATTCAGCACCTTGCTCAGTTAGAGACTTCGTGCAGGCTGCCATGTCATCATATCGCTCAGCCTGCTCTGTCAGTTTGGCCTTCTACACCAGCTCATTTTTATCCATGCCTGGACGTTCTGTGTCCCGGGTGGGTGGTAGTGGATGGAAGGTTGCAGCGGTCTCTCAAATATTCAATATTTCCATTAAAGAAATCAGTGTTTACTTATATTAATAATCCATATAAAGGAGAATATATAAATGTTCCATGAGGCATTCAGAGAAGGAAGCCATTTAGATTGTGGTGAGCAGGATATATATGCTTCAAGTAAGATATGAAATTTGTGGGGAACAGCTAAACTGGAGATCAATCACACATGAAGGGCTAGAGCAAGGCCAGCCCCAAGAATACTGCATATCCAAGGCAAACTAAGTGAATACTTTTCCCCAGCCCCGAGAACATGGGATGCCCAAGGAGAGCCAGGCAAACAAGTTGCTAAGCAGAGGTTGTTCACCTGACACTACCCTACTGAGTGTATGAATAAATGCTGAAGTAGTTGGGTGGCCCTTTTTCTCCCATCAGTGAGAGGGCCTGACCTCAGCTTTCTGAATTCTGATTCTGGTCTTTGTTTCTTCATCCTCCACCATTCTCCCCCAAGGAATTTCAAGGGTTGCACTTGAAGTGGCAGGAAAATGGCATGAATGTTGAAGGTATGGAAGGTTGCAGTTGGGGTAGGGAAGGTATGAGTTATAGGATTCATGGGAAAGTGACAGGCTGTTTTGAGAAGATGAGTTTCTTTGGTTCAGTGTGGGTAATACTCTAACAGCAATAGAACACCCACCTCTGATAAAGAAAAAGAGGGATATAAATGAAGGACCATTTTGTAGTGAAAGACATATATGTATATACAAAATAGGACAGATAAATGACTACTTTCTCTTAGTTCAAAGGGAAGGAAGATTTGTACTAATAGTGTTTAGACAAGATAACATGTCTGCCTCTTGTACTCTGAGTACTATGAAAACAACAATATGCAATGTATTAACTATTGTAACTGTCCTACTACCCATTTTGAAACTACCTCATTTCTAGTTCTTTCTCATTAAAATTAATAACAAATTAAAAAAGAATAAGATCCCAGGAACTGCCCTACAAATTTCACAGACTGTGACAAGGACAAAATGTAATATGATTTACTAAGTTACAAGGGGAATAAAATTATTAGAAATTAAAAAAATAAAGAGGACTGAGGACTTCAGGACAGAGTATAAAGAGTCAGTTGATTATAACTTTCAAATTGAAGCCCATGGAGCCTCTAGGCTCTCTCCTGATAATTTTTAAATCTCTCTCCACTATTAAAGAGGCTTGACAATGTCCCAAGGGCAAACTTTGTTCACAAACAGTTTGACATCAGGAGATAGTCTGATGACATACCAGCTCTTTCTCAGGGTGAGTTGGGTAGGCTGGGCAATAGGAGATGGAGCTGGGGGATACTTGCTCTTCCTGGATCTTTATGGATCTCAGCAATCTCTTCAGCTGAAAGAAAGGACTACATGCTTCTACAGCCTCTCCTGTACCACAGCTGTGACCCAAGACTTCCATTGCACAGATGAATTCAGCACCAAAGTGGTGTCTTTCTCAGACATTGCTAGATGCCACCAGCCTCAGGCAAATCTCTCATCTGCTTCATTACTGAAAGAAGTAACTTCTTTTCCTGGAGTTCTGGGTGAGTATTTTCTGGGTAGGTTATTCTGCCTTCCCATATAAAATCCGTTCAACAGGGAATATTCCATTAGGCAATTGGCATTGGATTCTATTGTGCTGGGACCTTGAATTGAATGTAAAAAGTTACATTTATGCATGAAGCTATTTTATCAATGACTGAGACTTTCTCTTCCACCTCATCCCCCACATGAACACAAGCTATCAATCTTATCTTTAAGTATTTTCTTTTATCATCTAAAAATTTAATTTAAAACATCGATTTCTCATATAATTTTTCAGAGGGTTTATGTTTAAAAGACAGTAGTCTTTTCTTCTATGTGTTTTGTCAAGCTTTTAATCCAAGTCTATGGCCAAAATTTAAAGATTACTTCAAATTCTACCCAGCCACTGCAGACTGTCACACTAGCCTTTCAATGAGTAGAAGGATAATTGTCCAGGAGATTGCTGGGATGAAGCATGAGTGACTAGAGCCCAGTGATATGAGTTTAATATCATAGTTTGTGATATACCAATGTTAAGAAATAGGAAAAAAGTAATCATTTCTAACTGTCACTACCACTTTTGGAATAGGGAATCCAACAGAGTTCAATATCCTGGTATTTTCACTCCATACTTGAAGGACTGCTATTTAGAGAGAGGCTTGTACATATTCTGTGTGCACCCAAGTGAAGTCTTGCCCCTCTTTCACTTACATGCTCTGGAACTCTCCACATAAATTCCCACAGCAGTCCAATCCCTGAGCCATGGGACAAAGGCCAGACTGTACATGGTTTATGAGACTTAAAACTAAGAATAAGTGAAAAACGTAAGAGCCTAACATTGGGTTCGTGTAAGCCTTCAGCCCTTCCTAAGGGCCTGTCAAAAGTTACTATTAAAAAAAGTTACTGTAGGTCAATGCTACAGACATCAGACACAATTATTATTTAGCTTCTTCTGTGGAAGCTATGTACTAGGAACTAAACCTGTGAATAAAATAGACACAGTTCTGTTCAATATAAATTCTAGTATGTGTAGAGAAGAATAGAAAAAAATCCAAACTTAAAGTCAAACTAGGAATATGGCATAAGTGAAGGAATATTGTTAATCCATTCAGTTATTATAGACACTTAGGTTATTTCTAGAGCCTAGCAATTGTGAATTGACCTGCAACATATATGGGTATGCAGTACACTGTACTTTTTTAAAAGAAGTTTTCACAATCCAATGCTGTCAGGCAGGCAACAGAGCATCTCTACTTTTATACAAGTAAAATCAGTTCCGAAAGATTGAATGACTTAGTTAAAATAAAAACAAAACACAACAGATAGAAAACTAGGGTGCAAAAAAAGGTTATATCATTCCTACTTCAGTAATTTCCTATCTTAATAAACAGAAGAGACAAACTAAAAAGATATAATGCAAGAGCAAAGTATAAAAATGTGTGATTCTGAACTATTTGGGGAATGCTGTGAAATAGTATTTAATACATATTCTACATGGGAGCCATTATTTGTCCATTGTGGTTTGTGCAGGTGAAAGGCTATGAGAAGTTTCAACACCACTTTCAAAGATGGCTTCATTTTGCTGGGCTTCTCAGACTGGCCTCAAATGGAACTCTTTTTATTTGTTTCTATTTCAATTTTCTACTCCCTGACTCTCTTGGGCAACACCTCCATCATCGCTCTCTGCCGACTGGACCCTCGACTACACACGCCAATGTACTTCTTCCTCTCACACCTCTACTTCCTAGACCTCTGTTTTACCACCACCACTGTGCCCCAGCTTCTGATCAATCTTCAGGGAAAGGACCGCACCATCACCTACTGGGGCTGCTTGGCCCAGCTTTACATCTACCTTGCGCTGGGCTCCACCCAGTGTGTACTCCTAGTGGTGATGGCCTTTGATCGCTATGCTGCTGTGTGTCGTCCACTCCACTACACAACCATCATGCACTCTCAGCTTTGCCATGCTCTAGCTATCTCCTCCTGGGTGGGAGGCTTCATGAATTCGCTGATCCAAACATGTCTCATGATGGCCATGCCTTTGTGTGGCCATCACCTGAACCACTTCTTCTGTGAGATGCCTGTATTCCTCAAGTTGGCTTGTGAGGAAACAGGAGGAACTGAGGCCAAGATGTTTGTGGTGCGAGTCATTGTGGTTGCTCTTCCTGCAGTACTAATTCTTGCCTCCTATGCACACATTGTTCAGGCTGTGCTGAAGGTCAAGTCAATGTCTGGGCGCAGAAAGGCTTTTGGAACGTGTGGGTCCCACCTCATGGTGGTCGTTCTATTCTATGGTTCAATCATTTACACATACCTGCAGCCTATCAACAGTTACTCTGAGAAGAAGGGGAAATTTGTTGCTCTTTTTTATACAATAGTAGCTCCCATTCTCAATCCTCTGATCTACACCCTAAGAAATAAGGATGTGAAGGGTGCTCTGTGGAAGGTAGTAAGAAGAGCCAGAGACTTGGGCCCCTAAGGAAAAAAAGTCAGTACAATTTAGGTAATGACTCTCAGATCATGAATTTTTTTCCTGCTCCTTGGAAGTCTGTTGGTCAGTAGGAAACAGCCCTCTATAGTCCTCAGGGCTTTGATGCCTTCCTAGCTTGGAAATTTCCAGTAGGACACTTTGAAATTCTTTCTAGTTCATTTCTTATGACCATTTTTCTTCCAAGAATAAGTACTGACTTTTATCACAACTTTTTTTTAAAGCAATGGTCATATTGTGACAATACATAGGGATAGGGCTTAAGTTCCCAGCAAGTCAGAGAGAGCAAAGACTTAATTTGAAATCACAATGTTTTCAAAGTCAGTGATTCCTAATGTGGTGCCATTTCACTGTGCTCAAAGACAAAGGAAAAGGTCACTCTGCTTCTTGCATTAGTTATGACGCTGGCCACTTTTTTTTTTATTTTATTTTATTTTATTTTATTTATTTATGTGTGTGGCCAGCTCAGCCCACCAGGGGGCGGGCTGGCTGGCATGCGATGATGGGGGATTGAACCGCGGTCCCTTGTGCTTTGCTAAGCTTGTTCTAAGTAGGTGCTTTAGACCACTGAGCCATCTCACCAGTCCCACTTCTTATATCTCATGCCCTTTGCTCCATTTTTGTACAGCGATTACCTTTCCATGATATTGAAAGAAAACAAGCTCATAAACAAATGTCTTAATGCAGCACCAAGAGTTTCTAATATGTCTTTCTATGCTAAAACATGGCAGAATTACAGTGGTGCCTTGGTTCATGAATTTAATTATTTTGTGATTCTGTTCCCAAACTGATTTGGATGAGAAGAAAATCAAATTCAATGGTTGGTTCAATGTTGACCCTATGGAGAAATCTGATTCAGCTCTCATCCAATTTGGTTTGCAAGCAGAATCACGGAAAGGATTAATCTGTGAATTGAAGCTCCACTGTACTAGAGTGCACTGAGTAAAAGCAGCATCAACATGGCATCAGTTGTGATAAAAGCGTCAGTCACACTGCTCAACATCATCAAGAAGATGCCAAAGACATGAGCACCATTAATAAGCCATGAAGAAGTAATATAGGAGAGAAGAAATAATAAAATGGAAAACACAAATGAAAAAAGGGATTCTTTCTTTCTTTCTGTGTGTGTGTGTGTGTGTGTGTGTGTCCCCAGCTCAGCCCACCAGGGGGCGGGGCTGGCTGGCATGTGGTGCTGGGGGATGGAACCGCAGTACCTGTGCTTTGCTAAGCTTGTTCTAAGTAGGTGCTTTACACCACTGAGCCATCTCACCAGCCCGAAAAAAAGGGATTCTTAGGGCAGGGACTTGTATGAAGTTCTAGAAATATTAGACATAGATATGAAAATGATGATAATTTCAAATTCTACCACTGCCACATCACTCTATGAACTTAAACAATGGCTTCATATCAAAGTGAGGGGTCTCTGTAAATGTCATGTTGCATGAAGCATCTTTGAGTTCAATAAATATAATGTTTAACAATTGAAAAATATTCTTATACAAATCATCACTTAATCCAGCCTTATAAAAGTTAGATTACATTCCCTGCTTGCTTATGGAGAACCTAAAGTTCACAGGGTTTAAGTACCTTTGCAAGTTCTTATTTTAAGTATGAAGTGGAGCTGAGATCCCAGTTTCAGTAACCTCAAATCCAACTCTTACTGTAACACAATCCTCCTCTCCTTTACTGAGAGTAAACTTAATAAGAAGTTTGAGGTTGGAAAGAAAGTTAAATAGAAAAAGAATCAAATAGGAGCTGTATGTGCTTCCCAGCTTTGCTTTAGTTGATTCTAGCCAAAGAATTGTGGACTCTTCTCAGTAAGAGAAATTGTGGTTAGAGGGCACATATATATTTCTGCACAAATATCCAGCAATTATAGTTCTCTTTCTTGAAGCTTTCATATAAAGCATAATGCTGTATAAGTTACTAAATGTTTTAATTTTTACAATACAAATAAAAGAATTATTTTTCTCTCCCAATTGGTTTACTAATAAAGTAGCTGAAATTTAGGTAATGTGAATAGCCTGAAGTTGCCTAGACATTAAATGAAGGGTCAAGATTTGAAGCTGGCCTGTTGTATTCTATGTCTGACCTACCTAGCTAGTACTTAAGTGTCCATATGTTGTATTTAGAAGGTGCAGGCACCAACCAATAGTCTAATTTTTTTTCTTCTGTGTCAAGACCCAAACAATTCCAGAATATGTGTTAATGTAATGAATAGATGGAAATTATTGGAACTAATTAGGTATAATTTAATAAACTTGTTTTGTGGTCAACATGTTATTCTTTCACTTGCATTTTGAAAATATAGTTGCCAGCATACTCATAGCTGGGCCGTTGAAGAGTCCACTGGTATGAGTGGCCCACATAGCCACTGTTTTTTGGTAAGGAAGATTTATTGTGAGGCAGATGCCTTTCCCATGAGATACTTGCCAGAGTACCTGAGTTAGTTCCAGAGATGTCTTCCTGCAGGAAGCAAATGTTCACACCTTCACACACATCTACTTTGCCTCTTAGAATCCAGTTGGCTGACATTTAAACCTTTTCAAATGATCCTTTATCTGGTAAACCACTTAAGTGGGGTTTTAGGGATTTTTTGAGACAGGGTCTTGCTATGCAGTTTAGATTGGCCTTTTGTTCACTTTTGTAGGCCCCTGGCTGGTCTTGAGCTTGCAGACATCCTCCTGTCTCAACATCCTGAGTGCTGGGATTACAGGCATGCACCACCATGCCCAGTTTTGAGGCCCACACAGCGCTGGCACAGACACAGCATTGGCACAGCAAGCCCACCCCCCTAACCCCGAGGGCATGTGGGGCCAGGGATCTGACACAGGACCTTGTGCTGAGACAAGTGCTTATACCTCTGAGCTATGTCCCTAAATGGGGTTTTCATCTAGAAATAATGTTCAGTGCAATACTTTGGGCTGGCTCCTAGCTAAGGAGAAAAGGGAAAAATTATGTAGGATAGATTTCTGAAAGGTTTTATTGATAGTATTTGTACGTAAAATTGATAGTATAAGATCAGGAATGAAACAAAGATGCCCACAGTTTTTTTTTTTTAAACCACTGGAAGTACATTGAAAATATTAAGGAAAAGGATTTCTTGGCATCAGTGACATTCATGAATTTCCTATCAGGAGGGAAATACTAAAATATGAGTTCGATACTCATGTAATCACTTTATATGTTGTAAAGGATTGACAACTCATCAACAAGACAGAGTAATCATGGGAATAACTTAGGTTATGAAAAGTACCAATCCAGATTAGGCCCAGCAGCTATCCCTCTCCCACAGTGTTCCCTGACTTCTCAGCCCATACCAAAGCCACCGGTAACACAAGTAGAACAAGATGTGCTTGGTGTTGTCAATGCTCATTACTAGAAGCTTCTAGCAAGACAGCTCCACCTGGACCCAAGTCTTCCTCATCACAAAGCACCATCACAACCAGCACTCACACACTCTTAGGCCCTGAGCAGGAGGTGGCAAGCTCATGGGACACCCTGCCACACCATGTGACCTCTCGTAGTCCTCTGTCTTTGGAGAAGAGTGTGGCTCAACACAGCAGGCTATACAGGTCCCTCTGTTCATCACAGTGTGGCCTAAGTAGCCATGAAATTACAACCTCAGGACAATACAACTTTCCTCTGAGAGATGGCATGTGCTTCACCAGACCTGGAAATAGCCAACAAAGGAGGACTGTAAAGAGACAAGAGGTCCTCAGCCAGACTGGATAGATCAGATGACCCTGAAGTTGAGACCCCTGCACATTGTTTAAAAACACCTCCCCAGGGCAGGCCAAATAGCTCAGAGGATTACAGTGCTTGCAAGGAGACACAGGGGCCAGGGGTTCAATCCCCAGGCCTGGTTGCTGGCACTGCCCCCAGGGTACACTGAGATGGCAATTGAGACTGGGCATAGTGGCACACACCTGTAATCCCAGCTCTTAGGGGGCTGTAAATAGGTGGATCACTACAAGTCTGATCTAGTAGCAAGACCTTGAACACCCTGTAGACCCTTCCCTAAAAGACAAAACAACAAAACACACTTCCCCAAGGAAAGCAGCTCACTAGATGATGTTTAGGGAGAAGGCTCTAGACCTGGATTCAGAATGGTTCCAATAGTTCAGATAGCAAAAAGGTGATTCAACTGCAGGAGTTCCTCCAGTCCCAGGATATGGAGGTTTTAGCAGAGGAAAAGTAGCTGTCAAAGCCAATGAACATGCCAGCTGTGGGTTGCTTAGATTCTGAGTGGCCATAAAAAGAAACTGAATGGAAGATGATGGGCTCAGAGGATGCTTCTGATATCTTTCCTGCCCAGAGGTCCCCATAGGATAAGGCAAGAATGATCTCCAAACCACAGAGGAGAGGGGAGATCTTCAGCTGCAGAGCAGACCTTGACTGGAAGAGACTCCCAGCATGAGACTCCTTCTCCACCATATTCACTCAGGGCTGTATATGCTGTTGGATGGAGAGCTTGATGCAACTTGTTGTCAGTCAGTCAGCTAGGGAAGTTATTCCAGGCAGGTCATCACTCAGACACAGCCCAGTCCACGAAAAGGGTGCCCCCTTTTTGATTCCTCTCTACACCCGTTCAGCCTCCTTCAGAAGCTGCTCTAAGGTGCAGGTCTACAAGCTGGGCTCCAAGCTTTATACCACGACTCAGCCTTGGAATTCATTTCCTCAACCTCTGTCCCTGTCCATGCTATAACTTGACCCTGGCTAATGCCCTTGCTCAGCAGGGCCATGATGCTGTAGTTCCAGCACATAAGTGTGATCACTCTTTCTACACCTACCCAACACATGGTAGATGTCCTGGCCAAAGTCATGAGGTAGGAGGGGAGGGGGGAGGAAGGGACTTTCAAGTAGGAAAGAGGATGTGGAATTGTCTCTCTCTGACATGACTTTATACATAGAAAACTGTAAAGACTCCACCAAAAATTGTCAGAACAGGTAAGTGGGTGTAGTTAGTTTGTACAACATAAAATCAACAT